AATCAATTAGTAGAAAAGTGGGCAACCGAGTTACAGTTGCACATTAGGCCCGAGGCTGATGATCGATTATAGGATCAACTTGTAACCAGTTACAAAATGACAAGTCTTTGAAGTCTTGGTTATGAGTTTGATTTACGTGTTCAGACCCAAATATGTTGGAAGGCCAGTTAAGGACCGATGCAACATAGGCCTGATTCAAGCCCACATTTTGGTTAAAGTGCGCCTGTTCCTCAAGGACCAGTAAGATCCACTGATGACTAATTTTCAAAGTCTCTTGAATTATATGTATAGGTGGTTTCAAACAAGAACACCACCAATTAATGGCAACATGAGAATACCTGTATATAGTCAATCACATGTGCTGTCATATCAGATAGTGGGGCGACCATGGAAGCGACCGAGGTAGCCGACCAAGTTGCGTGTATGCTACTGGTTTTAATTTTAGAAACACTTCTTTAGTCACTGTGATAGACTATAGTGTCGTATGCAATATATGAATCCTCGTGTTTTTGTAAATTGAGGATGTTCTCGTTTGAACCTATATATGTGTGTGTCTGTGTGTATAAATAATCGGTTCCAGTGAGAAATCTTTCTTTTCATAAGAAGCATGATAAGACTTTAAAATCTGTCAATCTCTTTTATCTAAGTAAGGTAATCATACATATTTTGTAGAAGTAGGGTACTTTTGTTTTTTTGCTTTTTTGTATTTGAACACAATCTGATCGCTTTTTCTAATGATATACATATAGCAGAAAAACGAGCCCAAACAAGGTGATTGATCTTAACCCCAGTTCTTATCAGATATAAATTTGGATTAAGAACCATACTTAAAATTTGTCTCACCTATTTGAGCCTCTATGACAAGACAATCGACTGGACCCATATACAACTATAAGATTGGTAATATTGTAAAGTGGCTTTTAAACTATCGTACTTCAAAGTTTTGGTTCCCACTGTTTCGTGGTTGTTATGAAATGATCCACAAACTTTATCTATCCGAGACAAAAACTCCATGTTTGCATTATGTGTTGGTTTTCATCACTCATTCTGATGGACATCCATTATTCCATTAAGCATGAAAACGAAGATTCTTTTACCCTTTTTCATATTTCAACATATTTTAATTATTGTCTTACATATTAATCAGTTAAAAATGAATATTTATAATATAAAAACAATAAAATAAGATCCTAGACTACATTATCTCTCCTCTTCTCCGTAACCCCTCCCCACTTCACCATCGGTAGAGTGCTTTCATTATATCCGCCAAACCACCTCTGCAACTCCGGAATCACTATCTAACACACCCCAATTTTCGTTCAGTCCTTCTCTCTCTCTCTCTCTCTCTCCCTCTCCCTCATTCCTACTCGTCCCTCTCCCAAATTGGATGGTTACAGCCTATCGGTACCCCCTTTCTTTTACTAGAACCCTCTTCCCCGTATGTACAAAACCTCCATCTCACTTCGACTCTCTCTCTCTCTCTCTCTCTCTCTCTCTCTCTCTCCGTGGTGAAAACCCACCTCTTCCATCTCACCTCCATCCAAACTCTCTCTACTATAATTCTACCCACGCATATGAGTGTATATACGTGGTTGTCGCCTCCCACTATGACCGTGGATGTGGCCAACACCAAAAATGAGTGTTTTATATATGCATTGCACAACTGCAAAACCCCTAAGAGTAACCACCTTCTCCCTAATGTAACCATGTATCGACCACTTGTCTATCTCCTATCGTTGTTAATTAGTGAAGTTACAACAAAGTTGGTGAGGTTTGTGTTCTATATGTATGTATATACTTATGTGTTTGTAAATAATATAATTTATTAAGTAATTAAGAATGTTACAATATATGGATGATCGTTAGAGTAAGAACTAAATCCAACACAAAAGATCAATTTCGCAACAACCATCAAATCATGTACTACAACAAAATTGGGTTTATAGGACGCCCCCAATTTCTAAGCGTCCTAATAGACCTTTTTTATAGAACTCATTTTATAGGACCAAAATATAAAATGTCATATCTAAAGGTGTTTTAATAAGTTTATATGACGCTTTTGGGTGTCTTAACAAGTTTTTTAGAATATTTTTAATACAAATCGTTGCATTGACAACTTTATAGGGCACTTTTGAGAAAATGTCATATAAACTCAATTTTTTATAGGACAGTTTTTCAAATAGTATCATATAAAGTTGCTAATGGGACGCTTTATATTTAAAGTGTCCTAAAAAACTTATTACTACGTCAAAAAACGTCATATAAACTTATTACAACGCCTTTAGATATGACGCTTTATTTTTTTGGTCCTATAAACTAAGTCTTAAAAAAAGTCTATTAGCACGGTTAGAAATTGAGAGTGTTCTGTAAACCCGATTTTGTTGTAGTATTTAAATAAATTGTTTGTTATTTTTTTTAAAGACAAAACAAATTTATTAAGGTAAAAGAACGAATGTACAAATAACAAATACGTTTCTTTAAAGAAAATTTGGATCAACACGCACCATTTTATATGTAATAATCATTACAAATACATTGATATTATTACATTTATAAGTATCCTAATCATTTTCCGATAAGAGTTTTAAGTATCCAAAATGAAAAAACTTATAGCAAAACGTACATAAAATCTAAAGATGTATTTATTTTTAAACATTGTTATATAATAAAACATTTGTGTAAGACCGAAATACGCCTTTGGTCCCCATTAATAAATTACGGCTGTCCTATGTTTCATTAATTATAAATACGGTTCCGTGGTTCTCATAATTTTTATGACTACAACTTACAAAAATCCGTAACTCAATTAACTCGGGGGTTAAAAAACCAAACTGTCCTCTTTTTCTTTTTTTTCTTATTAAAAAAATCTAATATACATATACATATACATATACATATACATATACATATACATATACATATACATATACATATACATATATACATATACATATATATACACAGAGGAGTGATCATATGAAAACCGTCCTCATTTGTGTAAACCGTGCAAACCACCTTCATCTGTCGATTTCATTGTTTAATTTTATGAAATTTTTTCATGAAATTGTTTAACCTTGTGAAATTGTTTCATATAATACTTTTTTTGATGAAGTTGTTTAATATATGGTTGTGAAATTGTTTCATATAATACTTAATGAAACTGTTTCATGTAATCTCTAACATTAATGAAACTGTTTCATGTATTTCTCTAAAATTAAAATAATGAAGATGATAATATCTATGATTAACACCCTCCACAATAAAAATGATTAATCAACCTCTCATAATTACAAAAAAATGAACAAAATGAAAAATTATGATCGGTTGAATGCGGTTTGCACGGTTTGTACAAATTGAATGGTTTGCATTTGATCGCTCCCCTACATACACATACACATACACATATAAAAGGAGGTTTCGGGGAAATCTTTAATAATGAAAAACTAGAAAACATTTTATCAACTATAAGACTAATTAATTAATTTAATTGATATAATTAAATCAACGGTTACAAAAACAATATTTTTTAAATTAAAATTTTTTACCACTCTATTTTTTATTCAAAAAATACATAAATAATAAAATTTGAGCCAAATAAATTACACAAAAAACGATTATATTTTTCTCGTTAATTTAATATCCATATTGATATACTTCTTCATCCATTTTTATGAGGGTTTTTTCGATTGTCTATTTATTTAACGTTTTTCCTTGAACCTAACCCTAACCGGATTAGATCTCCCCCTCCCCCACATAGATCGATGGTTAAGACTCTCAATACATAATATAACAATCTTTTTATATTTTTAATAGAAAAAAAAGACAAAAAAAAAAAAAAATACCAAAACGTCCTCTGACTGAGATAACAAAATCTTATGAGCACCGTTAATAAGAGAGATAATAATCATAAAAGATTGCGAACCATCAAAAGATATCCATAGTTAGATAAAATTTCATCCATAAATACAGTTTAAACATCTTTAAAAATAATGTTATAATTTTTCTATAATAGAATATGAAAAATCAAAATCTCTACAAAAATTTACATCCAACTTCAACGGCTACTATATTTTAGCAATATTATCATTAATTATATTAATAAATATTTAATGTATTTAATAAAATACAATAACTTTAATTGGTTGGATGTAATTAAAATATTATTTATTTATCTAACTTTAAAAGTTTTTACAGTCTCTTGTCTTTTCTCTATTTTAGCATCAAAACTGTAAGTGCTTACCGGTAAAATTTAACACTATTATTTACTTACCAGTTAAGATTTTAATCCATCAAAACGACATTGTATGCAACAATTCACCCGGTAAGCGTTTACCGTGGTAAGAGTCGTCGCCCTCACTTATTGAATAAGACTCATGGTCCTTGTCTCGCTTTTATCATATAAGATTTTTAGTCCTTATCATATTTATCCGATAAGATAATATAATTTGATAAATAGTTACTCATGTAAGTGTTTGGTAAACAGCTTTTAAATGTACTTTTATAGCAATAAAAATGCTAAAATTCTTTTTTATTCTTTTATTTTAATGTAAATGCAAGAGATTCTCCGGATAGATCCTAGAAATTGCAAAAATCACTGGAATCAATGACTCTTTTTGTCGTGTGTTTCCCTTAAAATATTTCAGAAATTCATGCACCACGTGTCAACCATTTCACACTCCTTTCATCTTCACTGTAACTTCAACCCTGAAAGCAAACAAAACGAACCACCATTGATGCAAGATTCCTTCCTCTCACAACACTACAAAACTGTAAATAAACCTCCCCCCAAAAAAATTCATCCAAACCACTTAAAATCAAGAATCTCATCGATTTAATGATCCCTTGGTGGGTTATTAACAAGAATCGCTTTCAAGAAAGTCAGCTATTAAAAAAGGCCTCTTTTTGGGATCCAGATAGAAAGAACCACTTTCAATGTAATTTCTCTCTCTTTAATCTCTTTTGTTCCCCTTTTTTAAATAAATTCCCATTAATTAATTCACTGCAAATGTCTGCAATATCTTTGTTTCTTCTCTGCTAGATCCGGATGTTTATTGGACCTGGGTTTTTTCTCTTTTTCTTTATTTTTTAAATAAATTTACTTCATTTATACATATACATATACATACACATATACATACAATGCATATATGCTTCTCTCTCTATAGACTATAGTTACAGTTCTTAAATAATTGGGGAAAATGGAATTGATTACCAGTTAATAGCTGGCAGTCAGGATCTTATACTTCTTGTTCTTGTTCTTGTTATTTCACCTAGGACGATTGTCGGCTCCCTATTTATAATCAGATCCGATTTCTTGATTCACAGTTGAATTCTTATCATAGGTGAGTTCAAGATCTGTTACCATTACTTAATTTTTTTTTTTTCAATTTGATTACATTTTCCCTTTATGTGTTTCTGCATGTGGGTTTTCTCCTATCTTCATAATAGCGTATGGTTCCATGGTTGTTATTGCAGATTGAGCATTCAAAAACCCTAATTCTCAATCTCTGCTGTCTCAAACGTGCATTTTGAGGGTTAATTTGATTTTTGAGTGATGATTCAAAATTGAGATTTGGGAACTGTTCTGATTTGGATTTGGAAACGAAGGTTTGTGGGTTCTGTAAAGATGGGATCAAGGGTAGAGAGGCATCAACATCATGATCTTGTACCATTAGCTGCGTTGATCAGTAGAGAGATGAGAAGTGAGAAGATGGAGAAACCAACTATTCGATACGGGCATGCAGCTCAATCGAGGAAAGGCGAAGATTATTTCATGATGAAAACAAATTGCCAGAGTGTTTCTGGTCATCAATCTTCGAGTTTTTCGGTTTTTGCGGTATGTAACTCTTGATTTTTCATCTAATATATGTAGTCGATAGATCTTTGCTGTCATTTCTTGGAGTTAATTTGCCAATCTAAATTCACTAGAATCCATATCTAGAACGACTATGTACCGGATCCACGGTGTTCTGCCATTCTTGACGGTTAATAATTTGTCTGTTAACTGGTTAGGCCTTGGGTTGTTGCTTCATATTGGTAACAGGTTCGACTTTCATCAAGGCTACTGGAGTTTTTCCTGACTAATAAATTTAGGGGTCCATGGGATTAGTAGTTATCATAGAGGGTGGCATGATTCATGAGTTTTCAATCTGTAATTCAAATTTCAAAAAGTTGACCACATTTTTATTTGCTGGTTTTCTAAAGAAATATTTATAAATTTCTAGATTTTCGATGGTCACAATGGGAATGCTGCAGCGGTGTATTCGAGGGATCATCTGCTAAACCATGTTTTGAGTGCAATTCCTCGTGGTCTTGGACGGGACGAGTGGCTTCAGGTATTACCTCGGGCATTGGTTGCAGGTTTCGTCAAGACTGATAAGGAGTTCCAGAGCAAAGGCATGACAATCGTCCCCTTCCCATCCCTGCTCCTAACTAGAGATACACAAGGCGCGGGCTTTTTCGGGCCTGGGCCCGAGCCTTCTAAGCCCATTTTCAATAAACAAAAAACGGGCTTTTTAGGGCCTGGGCTGGGCTTTGGGGGTTGAAAGAAGGCCCAATTGGGATTTTTCCGGCCGGGCTTTAACCATTTTCATGCTGAGCTTCGGGCATGGTTTTCTTTGTGCATCTCTACTCGTAACTAGCAGCTTAGTTATTTTAATGTAACCGATGGTTGACTTTTTTACAGGTCAAACTTCGGGAACAACGGCTACCTTTGTAATTGTTGATAGATGGACAGTGACAGTTGCTTCGGTTGGAGATTCACGTTGCATTCTGGATACACAAGGTGGTGCTGTGTCTGTTTTGACCGTTGATCATAGACTTGAAGAGAACCAAGAGGAGTGAGTAAAATCTACTAGAAAAAATCGAAATTTTGGATCCTCTTTGTTCTCTTGCATTGCAAATAAATTAATCGTCATTCTTGAATGATGTTGATTTTGGTATGATGTTATCTCAGAAGGGAGCGCGTAACGGCTAGTGGAGGGGAAGTAGGGCGGTTAAGTATTTTTGGCGGTGCTGAGGTGAGAGTTTTTACTAAATCAAAGAAGAAAAATTTCATTGTATGCTTAATGTTTTTTCCGGAAGGAAAACAACAAAGGGTGATTTGAACCCATGACACATGGTATTAGAACCAAGGGGATAGTCTCAAATGCCACCAAGAACTTGATGGCCATAAAACCATACCGGACCTAACAGACAAAGTATATCCTACCTGAAAGGGTTTGGGGGGGGGGGGTGGTTAAGATGTCCACATACCTTATTTCTGTCTATCCCAAAAGACAGAGGGGATGTTTCCGAGAAGACCCCCCACTTGCTTGATTATTAGCTTCATTTGTTGATGTTTTCGACTGTCATTTTGACAGATTGGTCCCCTTCGTTGTTGGCCAGGAGGGTTATGTCTTTCTAGATCAATTGGGGACATGGATGTTGGAGAATTTATAGTTCCGATACCATATGTAAAGCAAGTGAAGGTAACCATTACTTTTTGTATATCTATTTGTTTACAATTTACACCATTTACTTTCGGTTTCCATTCCCTATTTCTGAACCATTTATGTATGTTAGATTCCTCCTTAATCTCGAAATCTGAATCTCTTTTTGGTGTAAAAAGTTATCAAATGCTGGTGGAAGGCTTATAATCGCTTCTGATGGCATTTGGGATGCTGTGTCCTCAGAGATGGCTGCAAAATCTTGTCGTGGTTTGCCTGCTGAACTTGCCGCTAGGCAAGTAGTGAAGGTAGTTTGTCTACTTTCATTGCAGAAAACCAAACAATATACACGTTTGACTTTTGAGGTCAAACCTAATAATTTTTACTTCTTATAACTATTATGAATATCATCATAGTCTTAACGGAACTGCTAACCGTTTCCTGTATTTCGTATGTGGTTCAAATGGGTGATTAACATTTTCTTAAAGAATTTAAGGGTTCACACCAATTTTGAAGCAAAAACTTTAGTCTATTTGACGAAAATAGTCAAACTGTATCAATTCAGGAAGCATTGAGACCAAGGGGATTGAGAGATGATACAACCTGCATAGTTGTGGATATAATTCCTCCAGACACTGYAATGCCTCCACCATCACCGCCACGTAAAAAGYAAAGCAAGCTCAGAKCTTTGTTTTTCAGATCGAAATCCAGCAGTTCCGCTAGTAAACTGTCAAAGAAACTATCTGCTATTGGTATTGTTGAGGAACTCTTCGAAGAAGGTTCARCCATGCTTGCTGAAAGGTTAGCTTATCTTGCTTGTCGTATGAGCTTTAATATTCGCTTCTTCCATCAAAAACCAGCATTTCTGTTAAAATGTGTGGAACCCCYTTGTATCTCTTTCTAAAAGAGTCCTTGTTRAGAGAAGAGAGGTTCCTACATATATATAGGTTTGATGGTCTTTGTCTAGACGGTGTCCCATGACCGAAGGTGAAAGAAGAGTGTGTCAAGTCCCTAGGGTTAAGTTATGGTATGCGAACAACAGGTAGGCTRGTGGAGGAATTGTGGGAAGTTTTAACGTTTTTATTTGACATGGGTAGTTTAGTAATTTAACTTTTTATCCYGTCTCCGTGAATTTTGTTCCCCTTATTTTGGTGGGACAAAAAACTTTGCCCCACTTAGTATTGTCCTTGAATGTTTTGGTCTAGTTTGGTGCTAAACGTTGGACAATTTTTTGTTCTGTCTTGTCTCGTCCCAACCTGTAAAGCCTACCAAACACACTCTAGGCGGTGCTAGACACCGACTATGATACCATGTTAGATCATGTGAAACCTCTTCGAATCTTCCACTAGAAGAGCCCTTACAGAGAAAGAGGTGGTTTGTACATATATGCAAATTTGATGGTTTGTGTCTAGTTGATGGAATAACTTTCAGTGTGTAATATATATCATGTTTGAGGTTACATTTTCGTTTTGTGATATTTTTTTTTATTTCGATCTAATGTAGATTAGGGAATGACGACATGACCGGTGGTTCAACGACATCCGGTCTTTTCATGTGCGCCGTTTGTCAAGTTGACCTAGCGGCAAGTGAAGGCATATCGGTTCATGCTGGTTCCATCTTTTCAACAAGCTCAAAGCCATGGCAAGGCCCTTTCCTTTGTGCTGATTGTCGCAATAAGAAAGATGCCATGGAAGGTAAACGACCTAGCGGAGTCAAAGTCACTTAACACCCATGTTCGTTTTTCCAATCTAACCGTTAGTCGATCCCCATTTTACTGAGCTAAATAAWTCATTTGAATCCGAAGGTGGCGTGACACCATAATGTATATGTGGTAATATTGCGAACAATGTAATAATGAGTTGTAGTGTATGATGAGAATGTAGGATTTAAGAGTGCTTAATTGTTTGGTAAAATATCGATATAAATGAAACAAATTTTGTAGTGTGTCGAGTTTGGAATAAAAAGGTTTGAGACATCGATTGTTGGAAGTCAGTGCTTGTATTTGGTAGTCCAGTTCTTCCTAGAAATAGCACTTTAGTCTGAGTACCCTTTCACGTACAACCTCTTCCTCAATATCCGGCGAGGGAATCAAGCTCAATCATTGAGTAATGTGTTATTTGTGTTGTTGTATCGTCTGAATTGTTGCAATCCGGATCATATCCAAATTTTTATGTCGACTATAACGAAAATTCAGAAATATGTGTATATATTTGAGTGCAAAATCGTCTCAAGAAATTGTAACAAAACTAGGGAAAGAGTATATATGTATATGTATATGTATATGTATATGTATATGTATATGTATATGTATATGTATATGTATATGTATATGTATATGTATATGTATATGTATGCAATATATCGAAATTCTTATCAAAATGGAGAAATACTAACTTGAAATTGATGATTGCTTGTTAATTAGATAGAGGCCTTCTTTGCAGTGTCTTTAAACATAATTTCACCCCACTCGTGTGGTAGTATCGAGCGTCCACTTAGAGGAGAAAATTATCTATTCGAGTTCTTGCACGAGAACTTGAATATGTCGAGTTTCTTGTGTGTTCATAGATGAATCGTAGGAGAAAACCAGAGAAATATGATTGCCGCGAAATTCTGGAGGGAAAAATTATTATTTATAGTTTTGGCCGTTAATCCCAGTTAAACCGATTTTTGAACCATGCAGGGGTCGCTCGCTTCCAGGCGTGCGACTCTAGTCGTGCAAGTTTTTGTTTCTCGATTCTAGAAAGTTATGTTGGTTTCCCTGCGACTAAGGCCGCGTGGGAAGCCGCAGGAACTACTGTCGAAACAAACATAGAGTTGTGCGGGTAATCCCACAACATAACCCACATGAGAAGTCGTGGAACTCTTTGTTGTTCCTTTAAATAATTTTTTTGACGTCAAGAGCCTCAAGGCCCAATCTTTTGACATTTAAATATATGTCAAGCTTTCATCTTTTGTCCAATCTAACTTCCTTTGATGGGCTTTTGTCCAATTTGATCGGTCTTATAGGACTAGCCTTATAAGCTTACTTATTTTTTCGTTTCTTTCCAATGTAGGATCAATTCCTTTGTTAAAATCCCAACAAGAATCCATATTTTCTATACAAGGATATATTTTTCTGTTCCATGAAATAAGATATGACATACATTTGAAAATATATCTTTTAGACTTGAACCTTTCATAGTGAGTACAAAAAGAATCTATTTTGTGGGTAGCGAACGAAGTCTTGAACGAACCACATTGTTTAGTAAATCTACATGACGAGTATCACATACATCATATGTTGCACAATGTAACTCTTGGTTGTCTCATTTCGGTCGTGAACATATCCTTTCTTCATGAGATTCTTAGAGAATGTAGCCATCTTAGTCCTCATAGATGCGACCGCACATCAATCTCACATTAGTAATCCCGATCAAAAACATAGTAGTGTTCCACTGTCAAAGCTATTAGCATTATTAAGAATTAGTATTCATCACTTAATCGTCAATGGAAACACACTAAGATTATCATAGGAACGAGCATACTTATGTGTTATTCTTCTTGAATTTTCCCCAACTAATTTGCTTATTGAACCTAGACCACGGGATCTCTAATGTTGATAGGTTAGTTTTCCATGGGGTAATAACTCATTGAATTGGCTTTAATCACATTTCCCTCGATGTATAGATAACTTGCTCTTTGATTAGCCCTTTTGTCAAAGGATCGATTATATTCTCCTTTAACTTCACATAATCAATGAATATAATCCTTCTTTAGCAAGTCTCGTAATGTATTGTGACGACACCTTATATGTATCATTTTGCCAATGAATATTGTTGTTTTAAAGTTTGTAACCTTAAGTGTATGGGATGTGTAGCATACAGGTCGATCACAGGGAGACGATGGACTAAACATGGACTCGTCTTAGACTATGTCCTAGCTACAGGAAATCATCAATCTTTTGATTTTCTTTAAAAATAGACAAAAAAAGAATGACAAGACAATAAAAATAAAAGCTAACGAAGATCGGGTAATGTAGTTCTCAAATTTCAGTAGTGGTGAGTATTTGTTGTTTAAAATACTTTAGCCTTGTTTCGAGGTGGAAAAACCTTTCTAAAACAACACTCGCATCTACTTTCATAGGATACAAACATTGATAAAGAAACAATTAGATAAAACAAATGTTTTCTCAGCATACAGTCTTAACTGTTTTCACACACACACACACACACACACATATATATATATATATATATATATATATAGGCATAATCAAATGAAAATTGTTTAGTTTATGGTAACCATGAGATCCAATATTAAGCAATCATTTATGATAATATTATTATATTTTAAATACTCATAAAGGGTAATTTAGTAAAAAAAAAATTACAACTCATGTCTATATCTTCCATATACCAAACTCATCAAATCTTTCCATATCTCTCGTCACTAATCAAATAAAAAAAAGATTCTCTCTTTCCATCTCCCTCAATTTCTACTGGCAGCCATGGAAAGGAGTCGTCAAAAAAAGATCGGTAACCTGCGAGGAAGGAGGAGATGAGGTGATGGAGACGTGGGTGGTTGATCAGTAACCGACCATCAAGACGGGAAGATTCATGTAATAAAATTAACATTTTAAAACCATAAATAAAACAAAAATAATGAGAGAGATATTTTTTTGATTGATTAGATGGGCTTATGTTCCAAGTAGAAAACACCTGTGCTAAGGATGCAAGTAACAATGTAATTTTCAATATGCTAGAATGCTCATATTTTGGTGTATTGATTAATAGCCACAAGCATAACACAAGCTACAAAACAAAAAACATTATTAGTGTTTTTATGTCAAGTCTCGTCGTCTAACAACATCAATTTGGTATTGCAACGAAAGATGGGTAGTCTTGCATGATATATATATATATATATATATATATATATATATATATATATATATATATATA